CTATTCCCAGGGCACAGGGACACTTCAGACCTCCACATGAGCTCAGCAGCGAAGCTCAGAGGGAAGCTCACCTGTGGGGTGAGCTCAAAGACATCTCAAGTTCTCTCAGAGCTCAACCTTGGAAGCTGATTGAGCAAGACTACAACAGTCTGGAAATCACGGGACAGAAACAGCACTCCCCAATCCTGGCACCTCCAGAGTGTTCAAAGACCTGCACAGCTGGAGACAAGCTGGACACACAGAGCTCAGACCTGCTGCCAGGATACACAACTTACCCACACAATTACCTCAGGCCATTCAGAGGCAAGAATGCCAAATCACTATCATATTGTCCCAGTCACTCACTGATCTTCCTACACAAACAATGCCTAAAACTAGAAGTCGGGAAAAAAAAACTAAAAAAAAAAAAAGAACATGTCATATTTATGCAAATTAGAACTTTTACTCATTAAAAATAAGAAAAGACCTTCTCTAAGCTATTGGTCCCAATTGGTTGCCTTGCCAAGCTCAAATTATCTGCCACGACAGTCCTACTTAAACAAGATTGAGTTGCTTCTCATCAAAACTGCTTTGAGCATCTCAGTCCTAACAAATAAACAAGTTTTCTTTGTAATTTCCTTTAAATTCTTCAGCTTGAGTCCTGGTTCCCACAGCCCATACAAATAACCTTGAACCAGCAGCTGGCACAAGACAGCATCTTCTAAACTCTCTAGAAAACTCTGTTCCCCCAGCAACAAACTGCTTTGCACTCTATCCCAGCCACAGGAGCTGTTTGCTCAGCCTTCTTCCTAAATTCAAGTGCAAATGCCTCCTCACACACATTTTCTTAAGAAATGTGGGTCTTTAATGTATCTTTGGTGAACCAAGAGAGAATCAAATAAGATAATGTCTGTGAAGATACCTGAGGAAACTACAGGCAACTGAGAGGGGGAAACAGCTTCTCAGTTCATTAAAATGATTTACAGCTTCCTTGAAGGCAGGATACTTCATTAATTTATCTCAGTTAAAGATCAGGTTCCGTTTTTTAGAAGTATTTTAAGTGGTAATGCAGCTATTCAGCATTTCTGAATGGGTGTGGAACACTCAGCCAAGCAGGAGAAAGCCAAGGAAGTCCCCCCTCCACATACTTGTTAAAATTAGTGCTTATGTAACACTTCAGGCACCATAAATTACAATCATTTTGTAACATATAAAGCACACACTGAGCATGTAGCTCAATTTTCCTATTTTTATGCTGCTGGATGTATCCAAAACTGGCTTTTAACGAAATACAGTCTACTTTCACACATATTTGATTTTATTCTGGGAAAGGAAACGAGTGCTACAAATGCTGGTACCACTTTCACCATCCAGGGCCCTGCATTTCATTTTAGTCTTTAATTATCAGAGAAGGACTCAGGTATTCCACCTTTTGACAGGTCGAGTTTATTAGAGCTGAAATGGCCCAGGGCATTTCAGCATCACTGCAGTGGTACAAGGTAAGTGCCGGTGGAGGGCTCTGTGTGAATTACTAAGGCTTGGGACAGGTGAAAACAGCAGAGCTGTTCTGGAGCAGGATTAGCAAAAGCTTGGTTGATTTAATCACTTTGTTACAAGGACCCTCCTTCTGAGCTTCTCCTGCATGGAGGTTTTAGAATTCCTTGAAAATGTAAACTACTCATCCCCATGCTAAAATTTTAACTTTTTCTGACAGGTAGAACGGCCATCAGTACCTGCTGAAGACAGGTTTGTCACAGGTTTGAATTGGTGTTGGCTCATGGAAGCACCTCACCATTGTTTTTGTAAAGGATACCGGGGCCAGGGAGGAAAAACACTGCAAGATACTGCATGAATGGAAATAAAGGCTTCCAAGTTGGTTTTGTTCCAAAAAGGACAGCTTTCCGTGCACACCGACCTCCAAAACCAGCAGCACACCCAGAGCTGGCAGGGAGACAGCAAGCCAAGCTCAGCAGGCTTTAGGAAGTGTCTGTTGCTGCTCAAAGAGATCTCCCTCCTGCCAGAAGTTCCTCCAAACCAAACTGCTTTCAGTCCACTCCCTCCACTCCTGCCCTTCTCTGGCTTTCAGAGGGTTATTTGGAACAAAGTGCACTAGACATACACTTTTTCAAACCACCTCCAAGGTCAGATTTTCCTTGTTCATCTTCCATTCTGCTTTGCAAACATCCCTGTATTTTCCCCAAAACACACCTTGAGCAGAGGAATTTTTTTTTTCACATGCTCAATGCTTAAATCCCCAAACCAGTTTTCTTTGTTGAACACAAGTTAATGGCAGAGTGCTAAGCTTCAAGTCTGACCCAGCTGTCAAAAGATGCAATTAAGATTAAATTCCCCTGTATCACACACGAAGTTGCAAGCTGAGTTTGGGCCAGCAACCACATACAAACACACGCAAAACTTGGAGACACAAACATCCTCAGGTGTCACCTCAGCAGGGGTGACACCCTGGAGGATAAGTAGCAGCAGGAACCACTTACCTCCAGAGGGAAGTATTTCACAGGACTTGGATGGAAGATGAGGGGTTCCAAAGCTGATCCCCACGAGGGCTCCTTCTTTCCTCAGTGGAGTTGCTGTGAGGGTGCTGTGTTGGCAAACCCTCTGGCACAACCCCCTGACAGAAGCCCTCCATACCCACCTCCAGAACTGCAGACAAGCTGTGCATGGCAGGAGCTCTGTATTACCAATTCCAAGAGACAGCAGATCTCCCTCCACTGTGTCACCAGGATGACCAGTCATGGTTCTGTGTGTTGAAACCATTTTCCATACCTTTCACAAGACACGGCTGAGGAGTAGCTCACTGAGTTTAGGTCAAAAAGAGAAGCAGCTATTTGCAGACAGAGACATTTACAACTTTACATTCACCTGCACTTTAGAGACAAGCTAGAAACAAGAACATCCCACTCCTTGAAAGTTCTGTCTTCAAACAGGAGTCCTGACCCGTAGCTCCTGCTCACCTGGTGTCAGGCACACAGACAGCTGAGTCCCAGCATTCCCCAGGGAGCTCATGAGCTCCAGGTGATGCCTTGCTGATTGCAGTGACTGCAGGCAGCTCCTTCCCAGGACGCCAGGGAACATATCCACACCCCCACCAGCTCTTCCTCACTTTCATCTCTTCTGTAAATGCACAGGGATGTAAACTAAGATGTATATGGCCATGCACACAAAGTATCTGCTCCAGAACGAAACCTGATGCTTTCACACCATGCTTTGTCTCATCACCTGAAGCAAGTGATGCAGTTTCCCTGCCAGGCTGGTACAATTCACAAGTGAAGACAAGCACTCACAGCGCTGGGCAAGAGTGTCAGACTTCACACTGCAGAGCAGAGAATGAGTCATCTTACTGTACCCACACCTTCAGCCGGGTGCCTGTACAAAAACAAAGAAATGTGTGGCTGGGGCAGCTTATGTTTCTCTCTGGGAAGTGCCAGCACGTATTTCTTTAACCATCACTGTTGATACACTGGTGTCTTACCAGATTTCCTTCCCACACACCCACTCCATTCTTCTCAGGGAGGTGAGGACGGGTATGTTGACTCAGGTGGGAACAGCTTGAATTTCTGGGACTTTTCTCCCCTTGTCTTTAGTGAAAGCAAACCATAAAAACCCACGGGCACCTTTGTTAGCCCAGACAATGAAAAATCTCCTTTAAAGACAATGAAGTCCAGAGTTCCTCTGCCAGTAACATACTGTCATTGCTTTAAATCACCCAAGTATTTCCTCATCCAACCATGAGCCCCCCACAGCAACACTTGCCTCTTCTGGTCTCTCCTCTGACCAGAAAACCTCTCCATCTACCCCGTGTCCCTGGCTCCCTAAAAAGGCAAAGGCAAAGTGGGAAAAACAGTTTCCAGCTGGAAATGTTTTCCACCCTTCTCACATAATTATGGAGAATTTTCTCTAGTTCTTAGCCCTTCAGCAGGTAACTGGAAAGGGCAGTGTTGCCCCCTTCCTGTTTTGTACATGGACAGAAGCTGTTCAGTCTGGAAGTAGTTGGGCTGCAAGAGGGATAAGGCTTTTGTTACGGTCTGGCTGTTACTGCCCACTAACTTAAACCTGGCTCTTTTAAATACCAGACTTGCCATCACTTGCAATTTATATTAGATTGGGATCTAGGCAGCCAAAAAGAGGAAAAAAAAGATGATTAAAACTGGCCTATTTTAAGCTCTGTCATAATTCCTTAAGACTCTGTTTAGACTGTAAGTGAATCACACACTGGATGTAGCTAAAACTGTTACCATCACATTTGAAATTCCATGCCCAGTGCAAGACTATGGCCATAAATAACAGAGGGTTCTGAGAGCCTGTCTGACATTTTGTCTTCTTGCAGGAGCCCTGTAGAGGAGCAGGTGTTTTGGGGACCCCCAGGTGACCAGCAGGTAGATTGTTGTGGCTTCCTAGGGCTGTGCCTGCTTCCCAGATGCCACGTGCCATCCATCAGTTCCACAGCCCGAGCCGGAGAGGGTGGCTGGGCTGATCTCCCGGGAGTGGGTGCTCGGGGAAAATAACATTGTGGGAAGTGCCAATGAGGCAGGATAGGAAAAGAGTTAAAATGTATTCAAGTCTCAACTAAACACGTACTAAGAAGGCAAATTGCTGTGGGAGACACTCCCTTGATCCAAAGGCGACAGGTAGGACTGTTAGAAACTAAGAGTGGTGATGGGGAGAAGTTGCTGCAGCTCTCCCAAAAAACCCCTTATGGCTTTTCCTTCACAAGCCCTCTCCTCTCACAGGGAAAAGGAATGCTTAACAAAACACAAGTGCCTTCACAGCATTCCTGCCCTAGTGCTCCTGAGGAGCAGTGCAAGGACCTGAACTTTTTTACCCACGTATATGCCATACAGTTTGTAAGCACTGACAGACCCAGTGCATCCCAGCAGATGGGTGTGCAGAGAGCCAGGCTCTGAGCTGAAGGAACAGCTCTGCCTGTGCAAGGCTGCTGCAAATCCCCAGGGTCATGGAGCAAAGACATTTACACTGGTGTCACCACCGCAAAAACAGGCCAATGACTTCACAGGATTTATTCAAAACAGGAGAAGAAAAAGCTTTCTCTACAGACCTGATGAAATACACCAGTATAGAAGACAGTGAAGGTGTTCTCACCAACATACAGACACTGCAGAGCTACTACTTCCATCATGCTGCCACAGGAGCCCCCGTGAGCAGGAAAAAGCTGCCCCTCTCAGTTCTGCCTGTGTTTCAGCACGAGAAGCAGAGCCCACTCTCCCTCCCCACAGCTCATGAAGCATGGAAGCAATAAATCTGCTCCCCACCTACTCAGAAAAGCACACAGCAGCTGAGATTCCCTCTGGTAGCTTGCAGAAGACTGGAACTCATCTAGAAGCAGCTCTGTGGTATTTGTGTTACTGGGGACAGCAAGTGATCTGCCAACAATTGCAAAGGTAGAGCAGCAGAGAGCTGGAAAGAAGTACTGACTTCCAGTGAGTTCTCCCATTTGTGCCTTGGAGCATCTTCCCCAAAACATTTCTGAAATAAGGGTTCTTCTGTGCCGAGCCCAACACTGTACTGGAGAAGTAAATGTTCACTAAAATTTATTTTAAATTATTTTTAAAAAAAAGTAAAAAGGTTTAAAAGTCTTGCAAGAATCACTGAATTGTGAATCGCCTCCCTCTTCCGTGGCCAAAAAAGTCACCTGAGTGGTTTTATAAGTCTTACAATTCAGAAGGAAGTTGTCAAGGTAACTTTACAAACTATTCATAAAATGAAATATTTTGGACTAGGAACTTAGCTTATCAGTACACAGCTTGACAGCATTTCCACAGATCAGTCCTGCTCTGAAGAGCTCCTAGGACTATGGGAACCAATTTTAAATGATTTCTCATTTTCCAGTGGAGCAGGTTTTTGGCTGTCATTACCCCCTGTAAGCAAACGAAACTGCATTCACCATTTGATACCAACTTGTACCATCTCTGCTCAGCAAGCCCCTGCTGCACCTCCCACACACCCTCATGGGCTGAGAGGCAGACAGAGGTACCCACCCACTGCGTGAGCCTGGCTCCACGGGGACTGAGTTTATTGCAGTGGCTGGTGCAGATGCGGCGGGGAGGGACCGCAGTGAGTTAACACCACCTCACAGAGCTGGTCAACCCAGTCCTAAGAGCAAGCGCTGCTACGTGGAAGAGCTGCCAAAACACACCAGTGCTTAGACCTAACAAATCTGACAACCCTGATTTAAAAAGTGCTTTGACGGTCAAGGAAAACTAAAGACCAATCCGTTAGCAATGCACTCTTCGGAAGCCGGGCAGAGTGGCTTTGCCATGAGTGTAGATGTCCTCGTCTGTGCCCTGGTTCATGTGCTTCACCAGGTTCTTCTCGAAGAGCAGAGGGTGGTAAGCTCCCATGGTGCAGGCGTGGTCGTGAAACTTCTGGTAATAGTGGCAAATGTCCGTTTGGCGCTTGGAAGGGAGGAACTCGTACACGTCCACCTCGTCACAGAGCGTCATCATGATCACGATGCCTGGGGAGGGACGGAAAGCACACACCCCACATCAGCCCAGAGAAACAATGACACACTCCAGCAAGACAGGCAGGCAGCAAGGAGCATCCAGCTCCAGGGGGAAGGGTTTCCTTTTGGGACAATCAGAGTAGAGGGGCAGAAGACAAGTCTGGCCAGCCCAGGGATGTTTTCTGAAGCTCTCCCTTGCCAAGTGCAAGATCACCGTGATCACAGCAGATTGTTTGCAGTGACAGCCCTGCCAAAAGGCCCAATTTTTAAGAGTGCCACCATTCTCCGTGACCTTCATGGAAACCTGGGTGTCTGCCAAGCATGCACTACACTGAGCTGCTTGGGTAAGCAAGGGTGAGACCTTCGCCTTTTCCCCACCTGCCTCCAGTGAATGCAGGGGATACAAAAGGGACTGGTGCTGGGAGATGCTCAGGGAGACCTCAGCAGCCTCTGCTCCTCAGGCTCCCTGCAGCAGAGCGGTGCTGCCCTCCTGTGTCTTCTGACAGGCACAGGAACTACTCGAGGACATCACACCAGGCACAGCCTGAAGACTTTTTGCCCAGATCAGATGTAAGCCATAGTTACTGGCTGCTTTTCTCCTAAGTGCAAGAATATACCAGGGAATCAGAACCAGTGTATAACATCCCAGAAATTCAAGCAGTATCTGAGATATCAAGGACCCTGCACAATCAGAGGAACACAGATTCCAAGATATTAGAAGAACCCATATGTGAAACCACTCATTTACCTAAGGTACATTTTAAACGTATTTTCAACCACTTTTTCAAATGACAACTTTCAATCACACTTAGACCTTCCAGAGAAGCCAGAGTTGGAAACCAGAACCCATCTGTGCCCTTGAATTTGGCGAGGTGATTTGCTTTACAAAGCAGGTAACTTGGCTCCAAGTTAAGCCACAGAGGAATTGCTGTCTGACGTGGCCCGGTGCCTGTTAACAATTTTGTTGCTGAAGTCATCGATTATGCTGTTACACAGTTATTCTGCACCTATCCCAGCAATCATTGAATAGCTGATGGACCTGGCAAAAATAGGAAGTGACTCTGTTTACATGGAGACAGAAAGGTGCCTCTGCCCCAGCAGTGATGGGAGCGGAGGCAGCAGCAGACAAAGGGTGGAAGCACAGCAGTTGGACATTCCACGGCAAACAAGACTACAGGTCTTGTGTGATTTCAAATACTCGTGAGCTTTCCCAGAGGTTTACTCCTTTTTATCCATCTGGTCATGAGATCTACTCTCCAGTTAAGTAGGAAAACCTTTGCAACAGCAGAATGTAAAATGAGCTCCCTTGCTGAGAGGCAGGATTTAGCATGCTGACAAGCAAGAAGTTAGCATGCTGAATAAGGGGGAATATCACTGAACTTTTTAGGGCAACTGCTTAGTCTGACCATCCCCAGACCCTCAATAAGTCTTTTATACATATGGAAAGGATGAAGAGGCTTGCACTCAGAATTCATCTGCAGTAACCAGAGTTATTTGCCTGACAAGATCTGAGCCTGCAGGAACCGTATCCTTCCTCTCACACCCTGTGGGAACTGCTCTGGCACCAGAAGCTAGAAATCCTAGAGGCCATCCCAGTGTTGCAATCTGCCCTCCTGTTTCCACGAGGAACTGGGCTGCTGTTCCAGAGGAGTGCTGCAAACCACTTACTGTAATGCAACTGAGCTGCTCCTTTGAAGACAGGAAGCTTAAATTTTGGCATAAGACAAACACTGTAAAAACAACTCTGATAAGCACCACAGATTTGTAGCTGCCTTTGAAAAAAGGCATCCTGGAGAGTTCCTGCCTGCAAACTGAACCAGAAGTTTAGAGGGCGGTTATCTTACCAAGCATTCCTGATGACGGTGGATTAGGCTGAATATGCTCCAGGGAATTCTCCTGCAGAATATCCCAGAGTTGCCACTGCATTTTTGGATTCAGGATATAGAAGGGCTGCTCTGGGTGTGTTCTACGATACGCCTTATAGCTTTCAAAAAAGTTGTAGTCTGGTTTTCTGTACCACTGCAAAACAGAAACAAGAAGTCAGACTATTTCTGGCCCATTTTCCTGTAACCAACAGGAAACAAGGATGAGTGAACCTGCTGATGGTGGGTAAAAAGCCCTGCTACACCTGCACACCCTCAGCTGCAACCCTCGGGCCACTGCAGTGACTTGACTCAGGGAACAGAGGAGGGAAAACGCAAATCTCAGTGAAGGACCGTTGAGATCAGCACCTTGTATAATTTCATTCTGTACCTCCCAGCAGCAGATGATACTGAGAACTCTGCCTTAAATGTTACAGACCCCAGTCCTTCTCTATGCTGCAGTACAAAGCATCCTATTCTGCAGGCAAGTGTTCTCAGCACGGCCTCCTAAACCAGGCTGAGCTGATTTGCATCCTAAAATTTCCCCTTTCAGTAAAAACACTTAGGAATGGTTTATGGGGTTTTTTAAAATAATTTTGAGATTTTTTTTTTTTCCCTAGGCTACAAATATCCCATCCTGGTTTTACTGACTCTTAAACATGCTGTACATTACCCCTTATGCCTCCTGGAGCCATGGGACTAGACACAGGAATAAACATCAGAGAGAAAATAAGAAATGTAGTCCAGAGAAAGAAAGGCAAAGACTTTTCAGTTACAGAGCTCTAAATAAGAGTAAAGAATGGACTATTCACTTCTACCTGCTTTTACTGTGAGCCTCCAAAGCTCATCACTTATCAAAAAATGCTCTTTTGTACTCAAAATCAGAAGTGATTGCTGGAGGGATTGCAACACTCACTCGTGACAGCCTTGCTGAGACAGAGAGGAGACATTTGCTAAGATCTTCAGAGGGTTTCCTGATCCCTTCATAATGCATCAAGTATATCCCACGTCTCACTGGTGCTCAAAATACCCAGGCATCAACCAGCAGCAAATCTTAGAGTAACTGTCAGAAAGGAGAGCTCATCCTCTAAGTGCTGCAGCCAGCAGTGACCTCCTCCCTGTGGCATCAGTCCATGGGAAAGCAAAGGAGGTGACCTGTTACGCTTGGCCCGACGCCCTTCACAGGGATCGGGAACAGGCGAGTGTTTTCCTAGGAGCACTCATGCATGGGGTGTTCTCAGAAGTACACACTGATATATCCACAATAACAAAGAGGTAAAAAAGAATGGCCTTGAAAGGAGTGATTACTCATGTTAGGAGGAAGTGGGTTAACAGAGGCACTTCAAAGCATATGAATCTGATTTTATTTACAGAAAACTCAGCCTTACCTCATGAATTTCTGCATGATAAGGTGCTGGATCCCAGACAATTAAGATTCCAGTGTTATACAGCGTTTCCCTCAGGAACTGCTTCTCTTCAACAGTGACAAGCTTGAATAACAACAAACACAATGATATACAGCATGTTGTCAGAATGAGTGGGCAGCCAAGCAGTAAAAGACACCTGAAAACAGTCACAGGCACGCCACTGTTGGTTACTGAGCATTCATTCCCCACCGTGTGCAGCAAGGACACAGCCCCCAGCAGTGCCTTCCAACGCCCACACCAGTCCTATCTGGCAGCACAGGACTTAGTGGAGAGCCACAAGAAAACCTTGTAAAGCATAACGGCAGTTTTAATCTATCCATCTTCAGTAACACACTAAGGACAGGACCCACAGAGTGACCCAGCCTGTTTGAGGGGTCCCATCACTACAACTACCTGAGCAGGAGGGAACATCTGTTGCTGGCACCCGTCACAGGACAGTCCAGGAAGAGCCTAATGCAAACACACTGTTGGATTTATTAAGATCCTTCATTTGATTAAAAAAAAAAAAAAAAAAAAAAGAAAAAAGGCCTGCAGGTGGGTGGTTTCTCCTGAGCAGCAGGAACTCCAGCAGCCAGGGCTCAGCTGGGCCAGCCTGCTGTGAGACCACCAGTGGAGGAGATGAGAGACCACGGCACCCCTGCCCAACCCTGCCTCGCACCACGCCCTCCATGCTTCTCCAGAGCAGGGGGGTCCAGCTTAGGCAAAGGAGGTTTGAATCTTCTGAGGGCAGCAGTGAGAAGGCAATCTTCAAACAGAGACACAACCACTGTTTGGTACACCTGAGGGTAACCCTGCTCTGCAGCAGAGAGCAAACAATTAGAATCAAACAATTCATCTCCTGTCCTCCCCACCCAAGGCCATCATCTGTATAGGCACAGCTTGTAAACACTGTAATCATAAATCATAATCACAGATATCAGCTTCCATTTGTCCTGATTTTCTCCACAGATCTAATTATGAGCCAGCCAATTAGTCCTTGAGCATCCTGGCTGCCTCAGCAGCCTGCCTGGCTGTCCCTGTAACCAGAGCACAAGGACACTCCACCTAGCCCAAATGTGATTTATTTCAAAAGCAAAAAGGGTTTCCTCACATCTGTTCTTAACTCTGCAGGATTAGAGCTTGGCCTCAACCACGTGTACTGCCCGGCTTCATTTCCTTACAGCAGCTAAAATATCTGGGCCACTTGTTAGCTGGAGTGTTCAACGCTGCAGGTGTGAACATCTGCCTGCAGCCTGTGGACACCAGAGGCAAGGAGGGGCACGGAGGTTGGCACCAGCCATCCCCTCAGCTGGGTACGAGCGGGATGGAGCCCTGCAGCGGGACAGTGGTAGGGCCAGGAACATGGACACTTTGTTTTCATTTCATTGTTTCTATTTAAAGGCTAGACATTTTTCAGGAACTTCTCTGATGCAGCACCCACGAAAGGAGAACTTGAGAGACTGAGCATCAGAGAAAGCAAAGGTCAGCCAAGCAAAGCCATGTGAGTTGGCAGAGACACAGAGAGAGCTGCAACAGGCACAAAAGCAAAGGGATAAGAAAGCAGGTGGGGAGCACCTCCATAGCAACAAGCTGTTTGCTGTGTCCTTCCCCACGCCCCATGGCTGGGTCTTGGCAATACTTGTTAACTCTTGGTCACTTAACCCCTTTGCTGGAGGAATGTGGTTCCCCAGATACTTTAGTGCCTATTTGTTGTGTTTAATAGTGATAGTGACTGATTCTTTCTAAGTAGTTCAATTAATTTAAATTGCTTCATTGTTTACTTGTCTTGCCCAGACTTTTGATCCTAATTAGTTAACTGTTCTATTGATTTCCTAGTTAATTTGTTCTTCAGCCAGTTCACAGTTTAACAAGTGTTTGTTAATACAGCCCCTACCCTCTTGGTACATTTATTGACGATATCACAATGATTTCCGGCTACCACAGTCAATGTCCTGTGATCTAAACACAACCCCCTTTCCCATCACGATCTTCCCCCATTCCACCGATGTGTTATATCCTTTCTCTTCCTCCCTGCAGACTCATTAGTGCCAGTAACAGCACAGGCAGCACAGCAGAGAGTGAGAAGTCAGCCCAGGAGAACTGTAAACAAGGGCTGGGATGAATGAGGTACTCCGGCCCCTGGTCAGCTCTGCAGGAAGGAGCTGTGTCCGCCACAGTGACACTGGCACTCCCCTCACACACTTCAGCCCTTGTTTTTGCAAGATGTGCTGCTTTCCCAGGGCAAATCGATGCCTTGTGTAAGACAGCAGGGAAACGTGCCATGAAAGGCAGCACTGCTGATGAACCAGTCAAGGTCTAAGAAAAAAAGCAAGGCAATGTTGAATAAATTCTTTATTTAAAACAACTTCCAAACTTGTGGACCTACAAGCTTATCCTCAGATCTGGGGATCCCAACTGTCTCCCCGTCCTGACAGTATCAATCTATTAACCTTTCCCTATCCACACAGATGTACAAGATACCCCACTCTACTGTTAAAACCATCCACCCTCAGATATGTAATGCAAATTACAGAAAAATACCTTAAAATAATTACTAAGCAACTTAGGGCCCCTGGCCACACATGCCAAAGGGATGCTACTCAATACAGACTCATTCTGACAGGTAAGATTCAGGAAATCCCATTTCTTTCATCTTGGAAATGGATTGAGGATTGATCAATAGTAAGAGCCAAAATACAAGCAGCCAAGCCACAATCCCATCCCTTTTCCCAGAAAAGCCAAGAAATAACATGAGAAAAGCCAATCCCAGAACAAGAATGAACTACAGCTTCTCCAGCCAGTACCTGATGCCTGCAGGAGCTCTGGGCAAGGCACAGTAAGCTGAAAACAGAATGTGATCAGGCAACCCCACTAACAAGAAGGTTTAAATGATGTCACCAAGACTTGAACAGCACTGAACCACTAAAATGTGCAAATAAACACATCAGAAAATCAGGCTTTCAATCCAGTGATCCCTGAAGATAACAGGGACTGCAATTAGAGATGCTCAGTTCATAAAGCCAGATGAGAGACTCCTGCACTACTCATAGCTTTTGCCCTGGTCAGCAGCCAGATCAACGCTGCATTTTGAGTTAACTTTAGCCTCTAAAAACTGCAACAATATTGTCCTCCCTGTAACTGAATTTTTCTCAGCTGGGGTCTCCACTCAGACTGCAGGCTGATCCCCACGGAGAACAGAAACACTATAATGACATGGGATAACTACACTTGGTTCAAAGTAAGAGACTGCACATTAAGAGTCATATTAAGCTGTACAACCACACAGATCCCTTCCTCCCTGTGCTGATAATTCTGACATCCCACGGGCCATGTACATGTTTTCTCTTCTTATCACTGTTAGCTTGGCAATGACCACAGCCTCCAGAGAAAGTTTGCTTAAGTGATAACACCTATCTGAAATCATAAAAATACACACAGAAAGGAAAGATTAAAAAAAAAAGAAGAGATGTCAAACAGGGCAGAAGGAGGATGTCAGCAGCCAGATATGTCTTCTAAAACCAGACTGGTTCAGAAAGGACCAACTGTCCCACATCTGACTGGGGTAGGGTTAACACAAGGCCATCAAGATGCAGCAAGCAGCAGCACAGAGCATGGGAGCATGGCAGGAAGTGGAGAAGGCAAGGCTCAAGAGCAGAAAGAGGTGGCAGCAGCATTCACAAGAGAAGCAAGAACGAAAAAGGCACACAACATGAACTAGGAAAACACCAGGCATGTCTTGTCTTTGGAACTGATGGCCAGCTCTTGCTGCTGCTTTGAGAAACTTCAAACCTCATTACACAGCAGCACTGATGGACTCCTCACACAGGGGCAGATGACAAAACTTCAGGTCTAAAAACCTTACCTTTGAGATAAGGGAAAAAAACCCTGCCCTTTTGGCTCTGGATTGCAAAAGCTGTGCTTAAGCCCCTCATTTCTCCCTCTTCCAGCCCCTCAGCCTTCATGTGCCTACAACCTCTTCCTCCTCCTCTTGCAGGGTGAGAAGGTGCTGCAGTGCCACAGCACATCTTTTACCAGTGACTACTGGCCTGTTCAGTATTTTACTGTCTTACTCCATTACCTCACCAACACACACTACTGTGACTTTGCTTTCCCTCTGCATGTCTACACTTGAAAATTTCTCCCCCCAGAAAGGGTAAACATGACGGGTAACAGCTCTGTGGAAGAAGGGTGCAAACACTGAGATGTACCTACAGCAGCGAGGGTCTCGCTCTGCTACTGAATGGGCCAATACACTGCTAGACATGGCCCTAACCCTGGAGAGTCTGCTTTTCAGCCAACTGACAGCCAAAGGCAACCAGCAGAGGGACAGCCACACACCTGGAAAGAGCTCTCAGAGTCAGGGACAATGTAACTCAGTAAGCAATGCCTTGCATTAAGAGCATTTTCTGCCATGCTGTGCAGTGAGATCCTGGACTCTGACTCATCCACCAGAGCCCATCCCTCTCCTGGCTGTGCACAGGCTACAGCTTTAAAGGTGGGTCCTCAGCAAGTGTCTCCAGCCATTTAGCAGCACTGGTTAATCTGTTATCTACAGAATCTGTGGCACTGCTAGGCAGTAAAGAAACACTTATTTTATTAAAAGCCAAATAAACTTCCTTCATTCTTCATACCCCATGTCTGGGGCAAGCACATCCTCTCCCAGCAGATCTCTCTCTGCTGAGCTGCCATGTTGTTCTTGCCCCTTGCTCTCAAGGCAGAGCAGCAGCTCCCAGCTGGTCTTCCTGTGCTAACACAAACGCTTCAAGCCAAGACAAAACCCAAATTACCTTGTGCCTGCTGCAGATTGCAAGCAGGATACTATAGGCACCCTAGCATGAGCTAGGGTCACTCCAGTCACCTCAGATTTACCAATTGTCCCCCATTCCAAGGGGAAACATTCCCATCTCACAGCTATCTGCTAGGGCCAGGAGAAATCAGAGGGACAAAGCCCTGTTCCCCCAACTTTTTAAAGACCTCCCAGCAGCAGATGAGCCCAGAAGCCCCATGGATGCTGCTAGTTCAGCCTGCTGCCTGGCTCCCAGACAGTGCAGCTCTGCCACGCTTGGCCCATTGGGCCCATGTTGTTCAGACCCACCTGGGAATTCACGAGACGGATTGTTGTCTTCTGCCCCACGTCATCTTGAAAGCCCTTGACAGGAGCCCCATTGAACCGCAGGACGGCATCGTGGCTGTCTGAAAGCAAAACAGTGAAACCCTGTGAGCTAACAAACTGCTTTTTGAGTGACAGAGACAACATAACATGTCACTAACCTGCACTTCTAATACAATCTGGCTAGTCCCTGGCTTTCCATGTAACAATGAGAAGTAGCAAGCCAGATTCTTTGGAGGAAGTTGTGGCTCAAACTTCAGGATCAATACACTTTAAAGAACCCCACTTTGTAAAACTAACAGCCCACTGACAGGCTGAGAGTACAATCCTAGCATTTGCTCTGCATGGAGGAGTGCAGCATCTCCCTCCCTCTCTCTCCTTCCACTTTACCAGGAGATAAACCACTACACAATTATTTTACCACGTGGCTGGCTGCATACTAAGGAACTGGAAAGCAATGGGAAGCCAGCATCCTCTCTTGCAGACTGGAGGCTGACCAGCCCGAGAAATATGTATAATAACCACAGTGGAAAGCAAAGCTGACCTCAGCCTGCCAGCACACCTCCCACATCACAGAAATAAATCCACTGCTGTGCATTCAACAGGCACAGCTTGTTACATGCCTTGGGATCCACTGCATTTTCCTCTGCTGGCATCATCTCTTAAGATAGCACAGCATTCCCTCAGCACCCACCTCTGCCTTGGCACAGCTGCTGTAACACCACGGAGCCAGGCTGCTGCTGTGGCATGGAGGGGGTTTGTGCCCATCACCCTGACAGCCTGGCTTCTCCATGCCCTGAGGCTGGAATTGGATAGGAAACCTTTCACATTAGAGAAGCAGGACCAACTCCCCTGCCTTCACACTGAGAACACAGGACCACAGCTCACAGCACTCACAGTCAGGGTCCCTGGGGAATTGCCAAGCTCCCAGCCAGGGCAGAAGGGCTCGCCTGGGCCAGAACCAGGTCTTTTTGAGATCATTTTATTGAAAATAGGGGTGTTTTCATAAGCAATGTTTATGAAATGCTCATCAGCAACTACTGTCAGCAAAGACTAGTTTCTCAGCTACTTTATTCTCCAGAAGTGGATCTTTAAGAACCCTTCCAAAGCAACACCCAAAACTGTGAAAGGTGATGTTTCAGGAAAAAAATTGTGTCCAAGCTGAGAAGTGCCTGTGTAGTTACCAGGACAAATCCCTAACTGCACATCCTACCTTGCATCAATGCAATACAGCTTATAATTTCCCCCTGTAACTTCAGCCAGACACTAAGCATTATTATGCCCCAAGTTTGCATTTTAAAAGGGTGTTTAGTGACAGAGTAGCTGCCTGTCTCCAGATGGTTGTGCTGCACTTGGTATCTCTCACATCAGATTTTTCAGTGGCATCTTATAACCTCCAGTAACACCAAGAGCCCAGTTAAGACACAAGGTGGTTGTTTACAAGCTTCTCCCTGTTCTGCTCTGCCAGCCTTCCTTACACTGACTAATTGCTCATTTGATATCTTAATGTGCTTACACAGAACAAATATTTCCTGGAATAATAACTCAGCAATCCATTGTGCTCATCTACGCAAAATGCTTAATTTTAAGCCTCTAAGATTTAATACATTTTAGACAATTTCCTCCAACAAAATCCTCCTACATGGAGATAAATCCAGCCAAAACTGTGAAAAAAACTTTACATAAATACTCTGAATGCTCCTGAATCCTTAACATTCACCCTGCCCAGCTCAAGTGCCCCAAGCCCTGCAGAAGCCCTCCCAGAGATGACTGAGCACAAAGGTGAAAGTGTGAGGAATGCAAGGCAGGGACACCACAGGGGTTATGGATTTGCCTCGGGCACTACTCAGTGACCTCCCCAGCATCCATTCCTTGTGTTCTGGAACAAACCAGTGCTTCAGCTCCGGGACAGGCTCGGGGACAGGCTGTAGGAACAATGAAATGGCTTTGCACTCCGCTCAGCTGTGCCACAGCCAGAGCACTTGGCTGCTCTGGCACTGAATCCAGCCCTGTATTGACTGCGCCTCAACACTCCATAAACATCACACTCACATCCTCAGAGGGTCTCCCCACAGAGAGCAGCAAGCAGCTCTATCAGTATCCTGGAGCCCAACAGAGACACCCTCAGACCAAGGCCAGCTGTGCTGGGAGGGTGTTCAACAGAAAGTCACTTCTGAGCAAACCTTTAGCTCCAAGAGGCACCCAAAAAAAGCCTAGACAGGTACCCAAAGGAAAAGTCAGAACTGGCTTCCCATGTCTTGACCTGCCTAGCCTCAAACACAGGCAGAACCAATTACATCAACCAACTCCCCCCTGCAATGTGAACCAGGAGGCAATGCTATTTTTCATTGCACCTTTCACAGTATTTTAACACACCTCCAGCTGTCCAGCCTCACTCTGGCTCCTGCCCACCTGCTCTGTGGAGCACAGACAAGTTTGGGGGAGAATTTCTGAGCAAGTACCAGAACAAAACACTGTCCTCCTGCATGAGCATCCAGGGACTATGATTCTTGGGCTTTGCCAAGTTGTCCATGAAAGATGCATTAAAATCTATCCACCTACTTGTTTCAGAAAATGAAGGCTACTTGCAGCTTAGTGCAGGCTAAAGGGATCTGATTCAACAGAAAACTTACGAACACACCAAAGCCTGCAAATGATTTCCACTTGAGAGAAAACTCCCAGGGTTTAAAAGTTCTCCTTCAGCGAAGCTACAGTTCTGCAAAGTGAGAATCTTAACTGAGCTTCAAACAACAAATAATGAAGCAAGCTTAGGGAACTGCAGGCACAGTACCCCAAGGTGAAGGCTGAAGAGCTGGTTTCCCCTTCATGCTGCTTTTGTAAAGGCACAAAATGCTGTGGTATCAAAACATGCTTCTTTATAATCCACAGTATAAGACCAGTGATTCAGCATTTATTAATGCATTAACTTCAGGTTCGATTCCCGGTCAGGGCCACTCCCGGGCAGGTGGAGCTCGTTAACCCTCTAAAGGCAATCCATCTACATCCTAAGGACCTCGCTGCCACCGTCCAAGCTCGCTTGGCCCCGGCAGATGAACCTTAGGATTAAAGGGTGGGCTCAGTTCCGTGCACACTGTGTCTCACCTAAAAAATCCAATGCGCAGGCTGGAAGGTGTAATGACCTTCCCCGGATCTTCGCTTGCGAAGACTGGCCATTATTATTACTATTAACTTCAGGTAAATACAATCAGATAAGACTGCAAAGCGTCAACAAACTTTGTCTGAAGAGACAAAACAAAGCCCTGTAAAGTCTTCTGGGCCACTCAAATCCAGCCACTGTTTTATGGCTTGGAATGCAGTAGTGCCACCTTTGTAAAGTATTGAGCAGAATTATAGCATCATTGAGGCTGGAACTGACCTCTGAAGATTGTCTGTACCCAGCCCCTGTGCTCAACACACACTGCTCAGGGCTGTGTCCACTGGGTGTTTTTCCCCTTTAGTGTTTCATTTCTTCTCTGACAAAATTTTTCCTGATGAAAATTTTTCTGACCAGTGACTGTTTAATGAGCATTACTCAACCTGCTCCAAACCTTCTCAAAAAACAAACACTTGAGGAACCAACACCTCTCTCTGGTATCCAGTATTAGTGTGATCATGAAAATTGAAAGGACTAGCTAGACTAGAACTATCCATTGTTCCCATCTCCTAAGCTGAAATGTTTACTGACTTTAGAAGAAGTTAAAGGACAATATGTCAACCTATTTAAAACATCTTTTGACCACAACAGAGATTTATGGCTAAGAGCATGACAGTAGCTTACTTCTATTCAGCATAAGTTACAAAACAACGATATTTGACTTCACGCTAACAGAAAGATACCAACCTATCTCTTGTCCCAGACGAGATGATTTCAGAGATCCAGCTGAAGACACGACAGCACAGCGACCCAGGTGGCCCACTGCTTCACTGAGGCTCTTCCCTGGTAGGTACTGCTGCCATTCAGAGGTCCCAAAAGGGCCATCTGACCCCTGTATCATGGTCACGTTGACCCTGTCCCGCAGCTGGCACAGCAGCTGCTCCGGGCTGAGCTTAGCAGCGTTCCTCTTCCCACTGTAACTCACATTGTACTTGTTCATGGCCAGGTAGTTTTTTCTGACCTTCTGCAGCCTGGGTATGAGATTTTTGGATGAACTGTCCTTATCCCATACCTTCACAGAGGTTGCTGTTTTCTTGGAGTTTTCGGCTGTTCCAGAGATGCCGCCTTTCGGTTTGTTTTGGGTACCGAGCCATGTTTTGGGTATCTGCCCCAACTCACTGGCTGCTTCACGGAAAAGTCCTTGTGATTTAACAGTGTTCCATTTTTCTGAACTCCTTGGACCCTTCAAGTCATCGTTCTCGATCTTGAAAGGATTGTAGTAGCTTCTTCTTGTCTCTCTCCACAGGCAAACCGTCAGTGCTACCAGTATCACCACCAGAACACACATAAACTTTTTCAACACATTGATGTGAACCATAGTGTACGGTGCATCCAAATGGGCCACTGGAAGCTGCTCCTGGGGAAAGGAGCACAGCTCAGTCAGGGCTGCAGGCACAGGCATGCATATATATATACAGTGATGAACATCAGTGTGCAGGCAACGGGAGGGGACAGAGACAACATATGTGTTATTCTAAACTTTCAGGCTGTTTAAAGACCTCATTCCAAAGTCCACCACCTCAAACACCAAACAGAAGAACCTGAGCTGGCTGTCAGCCATCACATGCTATGTAATGGTGATCTGAGGCCACTGCCACTCAAACCTTTTTTCTATTTCCTTCTGCAAGTGACAGCCAACTTTAACACCACCAGTATTATACCAGCAACAGGGTAAGTCTGCACTTTGCCTTCCTTCCTCTTCCATCCCTGCCAGTCAATATCGAAATCCCACCAAATGAATTTCCAGAAATGAGTTTTTACTCAACCATAAGCTTTAACACCAATAAAGCACATAATAAATAAAGCATATAACTGGAAAGAAAAAAAAAAAAAAGAGGCTGTGAGCTCATGAGTCCCAGGAGCTTCACCAGCCTGGTACTGACACACTTGGTGACTTTCCAGGGAGCTGCTGCAAGCCTCTGGTGGGCTGAGTGCACTTCCCAACATCAAACCTCACTGAACGGCTGCTGGAAGCCAATTAAGCCCCAGTAAGGTTTGAGGTGTGCTTGGGCTCATAAATGCACTTTGATAAAAAAGTTACTTCTGGAGGAAGCAAAACCAGACTTTTTAGTACAGCACTGCCTTTCCTCTTTTGTGTTGCCTCACTCTTGCAGACACCTCCAGCTCCCACCATGAAAGGGGGAATCCTACAGGGGGACTGCCCAAAGGGTAGCTCAACCCAGGCAGCACAAGGGGTCTGTGTATGAAATACGCTGAGGCATAAACACCTCATGAGCAGCACACAGGACCTCAGAAGGCAGGAGAGAAGGTGCTCATTTCCCTATGTGGGGCCCAGCATGGGTCCAAAAACAGGGGAGCAGCACAGAGGCACAAGGTCCTCAGGAGACAAACACATGTAGGTCACCACTGCCACCCCAGAGAGGCAAGAGCAGCCACTTCCCCACTGAGCAACCTGCTGGAGGCAAACAGGGCTGCGCTGTGTTGTTGAGATGTTACTGAGCTAACAACACACTACCTGTGGAAAAAGCATCAGCTCTCCAACTCAGGTCATTTTTGGCTGTTGGCAGATTTTCCTCCGAGGGTTTAAGTAGAATATCCCAAAACACAACAGGTCTGTGGTGCACTGAAGAGTTCAAGAAAAACCTGCAAAAAAAAAGAGGAAAAAAAGAAAAACTGTTAAGGAAGAACCCTGAATTTCTAGGGATGAGCAGGTGTTTCCTCAGGTAAGTCCTGTGGTCCCAAACAAGCTCTTACCAAGGCCTGGAAGGGCCAGCAGCAAACACATTAGCATCACATAAGCCTTCTGTCCACTCAAATGGACATCCTGCTCTCAGCTAAAGCTGAGTTCACAGGCTGCCTGCTCTATGGTCCCAACCATACAGCCCATGGAGAAGGCTCTGAGCAGTGGACACACCCATAGAACAGTGAAGAAAATATCCCAATTAATGCAATGAACAGGGAAAAAACAACATAAAGCTAACTCTTCCCAAGGGAACATTCTACTGCCTGTTTTTGAGCAATTGATGCACTCTTGCAGAGAAGACTCCCTGCTTTTCTGGAGCAAGTCGAATGAAAAGTTGCTTTATAACATGCATCTTAATCCGTAAGTCTTCACAAAATAGATCAATGAATTTTAGACTTTACTACCAAAGAAATGCAGCAACAGAAAGGGAGATTTCAGAGTATTATAGAAAACAAGAAGTATCTTGCTTTTGCAGGAACTCTGAGTCAGTACAATGCCACATAAGCTAAATTACAAACACTACTCTTCACAGACTAAATACTAAATTATTAAAGCATCCTAATGCTGACTACTTATATTTTAACGTTATTAAGGAACTTGAATTTTTCTTTTAGAGCACTCCACAATGAAAAAGCAAATGCTGTTCTACCTCCAGTTCTTAAACAATAACAAAAAGATCCAAGAAACACAAGTAATTCTAGCTTTTGTTGAAGTTATTTGCCCTGCCTTGACACACTGTATAACTTCTCATTTGTTTGAGTACAAATGTGCTAGAAAGGCACGCTGAAGCCCTTTTGGCCAGTAGGTTTTATGCAGAGGTCCAGCAGTCTGGGGGGCAGGGGGGAATCAGGAGGGGATGCAGGACATCCCTGTGCTCTCTCCTGGGAGGAGTTAGTGTGAGGTTCCCCACACTGTTTGTGGTTCCTCTCCTGCTGTGGGCTCTGCAAGACACTCTCACTCTGCCTCCTGCCATGCCCTCCACAGCTGGGGACCCTGGAGGGCCAGCTCACTTGAGGTCTGCTCAGTGCCATCGGGAACAGAAGGCACATGAAGGCAGGAGGCTGCAAAAGCCATTTGCTAGTGGGGAAAGCACCACTGAGTCACCCTCACGCTGCCAGAGGCTCTGCAGGCGAACCACATGCAGACAGCAACATTTCCCAATGAGACACACACAGAAATAGAACTGCCAGTGTCAGCTTAGTACAAGACCCTGAGATACCTCCCTCATGCAGCCCCCAGCCTGCATTTCTTTACACAACACAAGAGTCAGGCTTCCAGGAAACTCAGCTAAGACCTGTTAAGGCAGGACAGAGCATCAACACTGTAGGAGGTGCCCAGGTGCCATCACCCTCCAGGGTGGAGCTCTCTGCTCCACGCCCTGAGGGCTCTGCCCTGCTTTGGACTTCACAAACCTCTCCCACGGGGCTTCCAGGTGGAGGTGACAGCAGGCACATAGCAACCATTTGCTTCCTACATTAAGATCATCTAGAAAGGTGGCAGGTTCATCACAGTGAAACAACCTCACAGCTCACTGCAAGTTCCTGCTGGGACACTCCTCCCAAGGCTGCACAGGACAGGATGCCCCAGGCCCAACACCTCCTCTCCTTCCTGGGCCACACAGAGGAACCTGAAAAGCTCACCTTCAGCACTCTGTTCAGGATGATCCCTGTCTCTGATCACTGCATGCTGCTGCAACAGGAACTCTGATGTGTAGTTTGCTTTGATTTGTAAGCTGGCAAAGTAGGCTCTGTAAGCAAGTACATAGCAGAGCCACAACATTTCCTTCTGTTCCCCATGGATTCAGTTTAGTTATTACTACTACTTCACGTGATCTGATTTTATTTTATTGGCACAAACAGTGCTCTAACATCAGGTCCCTTTCAAGCATTCTGCCACCAAACCTTCTCTGTGTAGAGGGAAGGCACCTGCTCTTCCAGGCAAAGCAGGATAGCCCACAAATGGTGCTCTCTTTCCACACCTTTAGATAAGCCACTTGTGTGCACTTGTGTATGGCAGCAGTCAGTACAAAGGTGCTTTTGTGGAGGTGATGGAAGCTTATCACCCACACAAAGCACAAGGTGTCAGCTATGAGTACAAACAAAGAAAGGACAAAAAAAAAAAAAAAAAAACCAAATTGCTGCCTTCTTGAAACCCAGAGTCTGATGCAGCAATGCCACAGCAGAGAACACACAATCCCCATTTCACAGATGTACCCTAAAAATGCTAACAGAACTGTCTTTATCTCATAGACAAAAGGTTTATCAAGCCTTACCTGTCTCCTATAGTGTCCAACAGTAGATACACAGAGAAACCACGGCTATGGAACAACGGTATGAATATACTTCTCTTCCAGTAAACGCACACAGCTTCCCAAAAGTTGTGTCATCAGCTGTACCAATGCCCATTTGTTTAATTAGTTCTTGAAAGCACTCATATTTCCCAAACAGCCCGAGGCAATGACCTCTGCAATGGCACACAGTGCAGACACAACCCCTCCTCTCTCCACCTCACACCAGAAAACCCAATCCTACCGACAAGACGCTCCTGCCTTCATTTTCCACACATCCTTCATGGTTGCACCACCTCTGCTAACACCCTCCATTCCCCACTCGTGGCTTTCTCAGACTGAATCCCACTTGTTCCAATCCCTGCTTGAAGAGCAGTTATTCCATACCTTGGACTCTCTTGGTCAAGTTCCACAGCACCACTAGCAGGGTGTGACCATCCCTCGAGGCAGGAACAGCGGGACACCCCTGCTGGACACACTCTCGCCACATGGTCCAGCCACAGCACAACAACAGGGCTGCTTTGTTCTCCTTTGGAAACTTCCTCCCCTTCCATTTCCCTTCCTGACCACTCCTGAGCCCTGGTCTCTATGCTGTCGCTGTCAGCAATGACTTCAGGATGTTTTGCAAGCAGCAGTGACTCACAGAGTTGTCCCTGGTGCAGCATGGAGGGCAGGAATAAATACAACTAAAGAGCATTATCTTATCCCTGCTGGCACAGGCTTCCTTGGCTGCTGTGCTGCCAGGCCACCCACGATCTTAAGACCCCTCTGCAGCTGCTCCATGTTTCCCCCAGTCCCAGCAGCCCCAAGGAGACAAAGCCAGCCAAGCCCATATCCCTGCCCTTCCCTCCTCTCCTCTGTAGATCCATGACCACTGCTCAACAGTGGGGATCTCGGAGAAAATCTGTTGGGGACTTCTGTGATGTTGTGAAACCTGACCAGCCGCTTTCCTACCTTCTAGGTAGTCACTAATCCAGGACAGGAACTTTCTCATCCCACAACAGTTTATGGTGTTTTTTTACTGAGGCTCTTGGTGAGCAATTGCACCAAAACCTTGAAAATTCAAGGCTTCTCTCTCTTCATTTTCACCAACTTCTGAAAATGAGAGAAGAGGAAACAGGCAGATAGGTTTGAAATGCGACTTTTGCAAAGATGAGACTTCTTCATGAATTCTTAAATGTTCTACAGGTGTTAGTTGTTATGATTACTGGTCTGAAGTAATGGATCCCACCAGACTCTCTCTGAAATGCAATCATGTCAAGTAAAACCTTTCATTTAAGTGATGATTTGAGAGATACCCCTGAGGACGGGCATATGCAGCAAGCACATCTACCTGGTCTACTGATCCTGTCCTGGATCCTGCTATTCCTATGTCAGCATCATTCATATGCAGTTTCCATGTATCTGATCTATGCACAAAAGCTTTTTACTTCAGCAAGTTGTTCCTCAACCTTTTTTTAGATAATGTGATAACGATTTCATATTTAAACTTAGAGCACTTACGTTTCTTTCCAGCTTTCCTTCATTTATGCATTTCCATCTGTAGCCACAACTGTGCTGTGCCTGAACAAGAAGTAAGAAAGTTTTGCCCCCAGCTTTTGCTGGTGTATTTTTGAATGTTTTTATGTTCCCCTGGTATTTAATATAAGGCAGAAGCTGTCATTTCTGGCTGTGTCAGCGCTTTACTCCCCCTGTTTTTTAGGTCCTGTGTTGGTGTGGGAGGGTGGCTCTGCCTAGCACTGCCTCCCCTTCTGCACTAATTATGAGGCAGCTGCTTTGCTTTCACTCCCTGCAGAGGTTCTACCAGGCACCTGCAGAACCACAGTCACCATGAGCCATCAAGAACCAGGGCAAGAGGTGACCCACACTACTGTGGCTTCCCTCCTCCAGCTCCCACCACCCCAGATGCCTCCACAGGCACCAACACACACCAGGGCACAGTCTTAAATCAGCTTTAATAAACCACCTGACAGTAACAAGTATGACACATGCAGGGCAGCTGAACCAGGCAACATGAGCCTTGCTCAGCAAGACACTTGGAGACTACTACTGGTAACAAACCTCTTCCATTTCTAAAATCACCAGTTTCACATTCAACTGAAGAAACAGAAAGAAAGTACATCTTAGCATGCACAAACAGCACCAATTCCCAGAACCACTGCTTTTCCTCCCATATCCAGACCCCCGTGTGTCAGGACTTCACAAGTGAGTTTTTTGTTATCACTCAACTTCACCACAACCATTCCCAGACTAAAGCCAACAGTAAAAATCCCCCTACCCCACCCCAACTTTAAAAACCAGGATGTGATCACTCATCTATGACTATTTTCTTTACATGGAACATTACACCTTCAAATCAAACAAATCACTTCTGTTCCCCCCCCCCGCCTGTGTTTCTCTGCAAGGTTTGTCTTTCGAAATGAAAGGGAAGCGCGTCTTTATTTTAAATTAACAGCGTGTGGCAGGTCAACACTTAATGCCTCTGCAAATATCCTGGCGCGCCAAGACATGTAATTGGTATTCCCTGGCCCCAGGACAATAAATACACTGTGTGCCAGCAGCAGCCACACCACCCCTCAGGATAATATTTCTCTGACACCAGCCCTTCGCAGGTGGGCGCCATGTCCTTCTGTCTCAAGGACAATGCAATAACTTTACAACTGGAAGAGGACTCAATTTAACCTAAGACCTAGTCTTTCACTGACTGAAATAAACTTGCAGAAGTGTGCATCTGTCATTCCTGGTTTTCAGTCCAACAGCACTACCAAGATTTGCTTTTCTCTACATACCCAGAACTCATCAGCTCAACAGCAGCACTGCACCACACCAACTTCACTGGACAAAACAAGTAAGGTGGGAATTCTGGCTGTTGACTTCACAAAGCACTATTTAAACTATTTACTCTATGTTAACCAAAACCCTCCCTGAATTACATTTAAAACAAATCGGTTTTCACTAATTCATATTTTATAATGTAAGAGACACACAGATGTCAGGACTGTTCATCAAAAAATATCAGGTGCTGGAAAAAAAGGTAAGTCCTGACGGCAATAAAGAGAATACTAGAAAGGACACCCACTAGAGCCCATCAAAGCAAATAACCACCAGAGAAACTGTAAGAACAATCATGTAACAAGCACTTCAATAACTTATTTGGCAAAAATCAAAGTAGTTCCCTTCTATGAAAGGAACTTGAGGCATGGAAGACAAATGGAAACATCAAAACGAGGGTTAACTATTTTGCCTCTGATAGAAAAGGAGGCAGAAAAAAAATGTGTTACAATAATCAGATGTTTCTCCATAAATAAAACCCACTTGGCTTGCAGTCTCCTAGCCAAGGTGTCAGGAAAGCTGAACTGATACCACTTCTACCACATCTCAACAGTTTCACTGCTTAAACCAAGACTGAAGTGACCAGAGGAAAGCCAGGTGTAACCCAGCACAAGCTGTCGAGAAAGCCCTGATCCCAGCTCAGTGTCAGGCTGCAGCAGAGCAGCTGAGGGAGCAGATATGCAGGAATCAATAACCCCCAAGGTCCTGGATATCGTTAACTGTTGAAGCAGCAGGCAGGTTCCCAAAAGTCGGAATATTTGCAGTAGCAGATGTCAAATATGTGCTTTGCCAAGGCACATCAGCGAGTCACATCCTCGTGCAGAGAGCTCCCAGCATGGCTTGACTTCAGAGAGGAATAACAGCAAGTGCTGCTCTGTTTTTCAAACCAGGTCTGACTGATTCATCTGGTAACACTATCCCCCTGTAGCAGCATTTCAAATGTATCTGCTGTCAATAAGCCCACATGTATGTCGGTAGGGAAGTGACCTTGCCTAAATACAATTCAATTTTATGAATCACAGACAATATGTATAGCACAATTTCATAAATCATAGGCAAAATGCATAGCATAGCCATACCTGGACACCTAGATGTATTCAAAGACATTTAAAGAGGTTAAGACACTTCTCCCACCTCAAAGTTTCCCATATGTATTTATAAAAACAGAAAACATTAATGAAACTTTCCCGATAAAGCCTTCATATGAAACCTCCTTGCTCTTTTATTCCCTCAGCATCTCCCCAGATGCTTAGGAAAGGAAAGCAGGTTCAGCAGTACCTCATACCCAAACCCAAGACTATGTCCTTTGCTTAAGGATCCAGCATGGAGAACACTTGGCAGGAGCAAACAGGTGCCTCTCAAACCAGTTGCAATGACCAACTCTTTGGTGGGATGGAGGACTGGCATGGCCTAGCAACCTCCTCCAGCTGTAAGCTCCCAGAAACAGCATGCCATGCATCCGGCAGCTCCACAGTGCCAGGTATAACCCAGCCAAAGAATTCCCTTTTTCTTCCCCCCTTACACACCCTGGCAGCATCCCAGTGCTGGATCAGTGTGGCTTTGGGCATGGTATTAATGGATCAGAAGTGAAACAAATCTACACAGTTGCTGGAGGGAGGTAAACACCAAGCTTAAAACACAGTGGGGTTCAGAGACACCAATAAAGGCCATTTTAGTGTCTGCCTGTGTAATACCTCCAGCTCCCAGTGTTTTTAGTCTGCTTTCTTCTTCATCAGAAAACCAGGCATAAAGCCTGGAAAGCACTACCCATCTCCTGTCCCCAAACACATCACTCACTTCCTACGGTTGGCACTTCAGAAACAAGTCTGGCAGCAGAGCTTGCAGATGACAAGCGGATGGATCCCTCATGGATCTGAGCCACACCCCCACCTACCCCTTGAAGCAGGCAGCTTTCTGCCCTCTGGTATTTAAGCCCACAGAAACTCCACGCACATGGGAATTTGTGCTTCCCCTATGAAGGGTGCCATTGTGCCATCGCTGTGGCACTGCCTTACAGGCATGAGCAGACAGGAGGAACTCGGGCACTGCTCACAGCAGCAACGGCTCCTGGAATGTGCAGGATATTGCTTTCCCAGGGTGTCATCAAGGGTGGCCCATCTTCCCTGGGTCTGTGTAGTGCCAGGGGAGAAGCACAGCCACGGTCACCTTGTGTTTGCCTGTGCCTGACACAGCTGTGGGAGGGCTCCAGAGGGGCAGCCAGCTGTGGCTGAGAAAGCAGGGAAAAAGGGAGACTGCCAGTGAATCTCAGCACAAATGTGTTTTTCATCAGAGCCACGTAACAACTTGCAGCATGGAGGGAGAGATCTAGACAGGTAATTCCAGCAAAAACATAAGTTACTCCCTAAAGCGGTAAAGGAGGCCCCTGACATTTTTGTATCTCCTCCACTCGGTATTTGCTCTCATACTGCTTCTAGCACAGTTCTGCAGTCTTTCTCTGAGCCTTCCAGAGCAAGGAAAGATCCCTGTCTTCCCCCACAACCTGACAGCGCTTGGCTGGATGAAGGGATGAGATATGGGAGGAGGAATGAGATATGAGGGATGGGAGGAAGACGTTCTTGCCCAGAGCTGGACTCTTGCACACAAGCACATATAGCTCTTCCTGGCCACTCAGTGCCACCTGGCCACAAAGACACCAGACTTCCTCTTTCATTAAGAGAATTACCCTCAAACACAGAAGTCAGGCATCTGTCATGCCTAGGATGGATGGCTTGGAAAGGGAAGGGAAGCTCAAAAAAGCACACATAAAAAAATCAAAGGGGTGGAAGGGAGCGTTCCTTATGAATTCTGTTGGTGTCCTGCTGCTGAAAAATGCAGAAACCCATGTAGCTGGTTACACCATTCTTGGAAAGTTTCTTTTTGTTGTTTTTCACCTGACTCCAACCCCCTTTGATCAGACATTGCCTCCCAGTAGGGATGGAAACATGGCACACATGGGGGTGACCAGCAGGTCAGCTTTGAAGGTACAAACCTGACCCAAAGTACAGCACTGAAGTAGATGCCTTCAACTTAATCGAATTTATGCTGCACTGCTCTTCCTTGGGATCATCCCAAAGTCCAGCCAGTTCTTTTAACTAACACCTCAACAACCCAGACACAGGTCAAAGAGTTCCAGTGGGGTTTCTTCCACCTCAAAAGAAGGAAACTGCACCACAGCATCAAATACTTGACATTAAGTAGAAACAAATATTTACCAGGAAGAAGTTACAGAATACTGCAAATCCTAGCTGTAAGCTGAGGCTGAGCAGGAAACACTACCTAGAGTAATCTCTTACAACAACACACCTCAATGTACCACAAAGGTAAGTGCAAGGGCCAAACCATCCACATCCCAGCAGCAGCAGCATCCCGTGCAGACAAGGAATCTGTAGAAATTCAGCTGAGATGTTCCACATGCACAGGGGTGGCTGCCTGGAGGTGACTCACAGAGCACCTTGGGAGGACACCATGCTTTCCTGCTCCACAGGAGGAGCTGGGTGTTCCCTACAGTAGTGGTCTCCCATGCCACAATTCCCACACAGTGCTCAAGGCTGCAAGGCTGATCTCATGCCACCTCTAGCACAAGGCCACCTCTTCTTGCTGCTCAACATCCCATCCAAGCTCAAAGTGGAAAAGCACTGGGCTTGAAGTTCACTGAACTTTAAACAAGGCTGACTTTTGATCAGGCCCAGACCAAGCTTTAGATTAAAAGTTACTCATTCATTTTATTTAAACAAATCTGCCTGCCTTTACTCCAGCACACTTTAAAGGGACAAGTTTAAGTATTTCATTTGGGAATGCCATCACAGTCTCATGAGAGTTGATCCCAGATGATCCTTCATCTCCTTTTTCGTTCCTCTTCCTGCCAAAAGGATCCTTTTGGATGCTTTGGTACAGCAATGCACCTCCCTCTCCTCTCCACAAGCTCCCCTCCAGGTTCTCAGGGTGGCAGCTTGGCTGCTACCACACCATATTTTAATCTTGCACAGGCATCTGAAGGTACAAAGTCCTGGATATCTCTTGACAGCAGGAGCACAATTTTTCTTTCCTCCTCATGCCATTATACCAGTATCCCCCAAGGCTAAACTGGCAGAGAACCCCCGGGTTTGCTGGTTAGAGTATCTCCTCTCATGTAGGAGGAACCACAGCACCCCAATATGAAAGCGAAGAAAAACAGTAGGGAAGCCTAGCAGAGTTGTCTTACACTATTTTAGGATTATTAGTTTGCATTTCACTGGTCTTTTTGTTTGTGTTTTTTTGGTTTGTTTTTTTTTTTTTAATTTTTATATTCAAGAATCAAGCCAATTCAGCTAAGGTGGTTCTGCTTCCACTGAGACATGTATTGCTCTCTCTCTTGGATTTATAATACGCATACTTAAATACTTACATACATATCCTCACCTATTTTTGAGTTAGGAAATAATGCATTCACAATACAGAGATACTGCCAAAATAAAAGCTTTTTCACAGGTTGTCCAACATGAATATAGGCCAGAGTTGTACATTGTCAAGGGAATCACTTTTACCAAGTGTTATCTCTGAATTTTCTTTCTTTATTCTAAACAAACATAGAAATGACTAGTTAAAATGCATCAGCCTGATGAATATTTTCTGAAGTCTGCTAGAACAGCAATTTTTAATTTTTTTCCCCCCCCAAAGTACAAGGCTAAAAACATTACAAGCCTGACCCAGTTTACAGGTTCCTCTCACTTTGGGTTGTACATAAAGCTGGATCTCTGTATGGCATTATCTGCAGCCATCTCAACAAGGGGACGCATTAGTGCTTCACAGACTTGCAGCAAACCTCCCATGCCCCTTTTGGGAGCTCTTTAAAAGCTGAGCAAGCAGAGCTCTTTCAGAGATCTAGAGCAGATTAGGACCCAAAGAGGTGAAAAACCATTAGCGTGAGAGCAGGGAAGCAGAGCAGAAATTTCCCACACGCTTGTCTCGGGGCACCAGCTCCCCTGAACCCTCTGACGTGGGCAGGAGCTGCTGCCAGGGCAGAGGGAGGCCCGTGCTCTGCACTGCTGATCACACGCGGTGCGGCAGCGACGGCGGTTTCGGCGCTCGCCACTGCCGGCAGCAGTACCTGAAAGAGCTATTTTAGGAGACCAAGGATGCACAGCGCTGTGGGGAGCAGGGGGGAGGGCTGGAGGTGGAGATACACGCTACCTGCGAGGAACCAGGTGCCTTCCTGGTGGGTCTGCATCTCCAGGACTCTCCTCTTCCTCCTAGGAAATCTCTCCCAAGGCCCTTCACATCCCCTCCAGCACCTGCACTGCACGAGGGGGCACCCTAGTTTCTGTGGCCTTACCCCACAGGAAAGTGTGCAGGAAGCAGCAGGAAGCTGCTTTCCTGCCCTGGTGAGATGCCACCTCCAGCCCTCCTCCTACCCTCCACAAGCCTTTCTTCTTGGAAGTCCTTTCCTTGCATGCATTTTCAGATCTGAGTTGGTGGGAAAAGCTGACCACTGTGTGCAGTGCCTGTCCTGGGCTCATGCCCTCTACTCACCGTGGTTTTTCAAAGCTAATGCAGGAGTCCCACAAAATGCTTCAAGGGCAAAACAACGTCTGAGGGGAGTGTCTTCTGCCACAGCAAGGACCTCATGCACGTCAAAGAGTAGAAGCCATGAGTATATAGGAACAGGCTGGCAGAGTGACCACAGAGCCACACGCCCCAACAGCCAGCTCCTGATAGAGCAGCTGCCCCAAACTGCTGGCAGTGGTGGGGACACCTCTACAGCACACAGAAAGCTGCAGCAAAAACAAGCAGGTGGGTTTGCACTGCACTTCAGCACGAGCAGACAGAATTAACTGCTCTTACACAATACGATCACATCTGCACCGTCCTGTTATTGTGAAAGAAAACTGTGTTTTAGTACGCGGTCGAAGGTTTTGCTGATCACACTCCACTGGTCTGGACACCCACCCTGGAAACCACTGCTGAACCTGGACTCGACACACCGAAGCTCATCTCCTCCACCATCAACCACCTACACCCAACACATAATATCCTCTTTTCCAACAGGCAGGCTCTGCCCCTTTCCAGAGGGGGAGAGGGTCAGAGGCTCCCACACAGCCACAGGGAGCACTGGATTGTGAAGGGAGGGGTGGGCCAATTTTTGGTTTTACTTCCCTATTTCAGATGTACCCAAAGGAGGAAAGAGAAAAGTCCCTTTTCCATTTAAGTTTTTAACATATAACAGTGTAACTGCTGATAAGAGGGCTAGGCAGACAGAGAGGTACAGATATTACAGACCAAATACATCACTTTGCTGGTTTTCAAACATCCAACTCCCCCAGCAGCCATGGCATATTGCAAGCCAGGCCTAACCAGGCTGCCTAGTCTAAAACTGTACTTAGTAACAGGGAGCTGTTTGGGGTTCAAGAGGAAGAGTTCTGAGTGTTTTGAAAGGGGCTAAAGATTTCATTCTGGCACAAACGGAAGGTGACTCTTCAGTGTTACCAACACACATTAAGAGGAGGAATATCTCTGCACTAAAAGTGAATCTGAGCTTGAAAGGTTAGCTTAGTTTTGGATTTCAGAGGAACAAGGAAGAAAAACAGAACTAAAAAAACCTCCCCTTGTTTCCCAAGAACAACAAAAAATGAGAAGTTTTGCAGGGGCTGAGCTCCATGGCTGACCTGCTTCTTTAAACCTCTGTTCTACACCCAAATCCCACCTAACTAGAAGTCAAATTGTCTCCAGCTTAGTTTTCTTTTCCCCATGCAAAGAGCAACTGCCAAAGATGTCCAAGAAAACGTGCCACACTTTTTCTTTTCCACTCACCCACCTCCCGCAGTGTGTTCCCACTCCTGCCAGTGCTCCCCAGGCTCCACACAACTCTGTCTTGATCTCTGTGCAAATCTGGGCTGCTCTCTGCCCTCTTTGGGGTGGAAATCCAGCAGCCCCCAGGGCAGGCAGGCTGCTGGAGCTCCACCAGCCCTGCCCAAGCATTTCAGTTTGCAATGCTAAAGGTAACAAAACACTGGGAGGGACAAGTGTTCCTCAGCCAGAAAGGAAGAAAGGGTGGTGCATTTTCCATATTAAAGATTCAGGTTTTAAGCAGAGGAGAGAAGATTAGCATATATCAAGCAGAAGAGGAAGTGGGGAGCAATAGCTGGCACTCCTCATGCCAGCAGTTTAAGGATTCAGAGAAGCAGCTAGACAACAAGGTCCTCCCAAACCATCTTCACATATGAAAACAGGTATAAACCCAACACTTAACATTTGCATTTGCCTCTAAAAATGGTCCCTACCAAGTGAGCTTTCCTGTGCACGAGAAAAGAGGTGCATGAGCACCTTCCTCAGTCACTGCAATGGCTCACGTGACCCAGCCTTCTGGGCTAGCTTATCATTCCTGAGAGCAGCTCCCAAGCCTTGCAGTGCTGAGATAAGGGGCAGGATGCCAGTGGGGAAGGGTGACAGACAGGCAAAGTAGTGGCACTACCACCAAAAGCACTTCAGACATGTTCAGAGGAAGTCTGAAAGTAGGCAGCTAACTACTCTAACCCAGAACCATAGGCAATATCCCCAGAGGGTTTCCATGGAAAGCCCTTACCAAAATGAGCCCCAACACACATCTTATATTCATTTTACGCAAGGCACAATAAATACTGGATCTCAGACATGAATCTCTGGCACACTCCCAATATGTGTCAGTTTCTACAAGGGCTCCCACAAGAAGCAGAACAAATGTTTTTTTTTCTTTAAAAGAGAAATATAGGATAGTTGCAAAGGGAATAGCAGAGAACCCTTCTCATTTTCTTTACCGCCCTCCCAGCTCTGCAATCAAGACGAGACAGCCCCAGTGCCAACAGCGGTGCCTCTGAATGTGCACGGCCTTGCCATGCCAACAGCAGTCCTGCTCCTGCTGCAGGCATGTGGAAGTGAAAAAGGGAGCACTGAAAAGAAAAAGAAGAGCCACGGTCATCACCTTCATCTCCAGGTTCCTTTGCTGCCCACAGCAGTTCCTTGTCATTGCCTTCCAGGCAGCAGTAGGTTGCCAGGTAAGATCTGTAGGAGGTGCCACCACGGGGAGCGCATCTGTGCAATTCTTCATGCTCTCATGTCCCTTTTAATCAAATTCTCTAGCCTAGGAAAGAAATCAAGATGTTAGACAGCTACATCAGACTGATCAGAAGTCACTGGACAGGGGACTACAACCACCAGCCAGGACCACACAGCAAATAAGCAGTGACACAGAAACACTAGAGCATGCAGATACTGCTGTGCCCACACCACAGGCAAGGGTATCCCGGGTAAGATCAACAAGCGAGCTGCCAACACCTCTAAAATAACTTGGGCTTGAGTAAAACAGCACACAGAGCCTTGTTTTGAAGGCAAAATCTGCTGGTGAACACCTGCTGTCTGCAGAACTTCCCAGAGTCTAAAGCCAGGAGCCAGGGTCAGGGAGAGCTGGTAATATTGAAATCAGGGCAGAAGAACTCACCATTAGTGCTGGGTGTATGGGTTTCTATGGAGTTCTGAGCAATGCAACCTGTACAAACACACCTGCAAAGACCCTGTTGAGGATCCCTCTCCCACTGAACCATCCACAGCAAAAACCACTGCCTACCCTGACACAACAGAGCAGTGATGCACTGCACTTAACTGATGACCCTTGCTGGAAACACAAAAGAGCCTTTACAGAGTTTATATTTCTAACCTCTCCCCCACTTCTAAAAGAAACTCAGTGCAACTGCAGCACGTGTCCTAAAATCCTCTTAAATGAGCCATTAATCACAAGACTGTTTAGCAAGTGAGAGCACACAGTCCGCTCGAAAAAAGCTGCCTCCCATAATTATCCTGCCTTGGGCAAGTTTCCAGTGTATGTGCATGGCCTGGCATATGTTTCACCTCGAGTCCAGCAGCTCAGGTTTCTGCTCTCAGCAGGGAACCCAAGCACACAGAGCTTAGGAAGAGGTCCCAATATGTCCATAACTCAAATTAATGCCAGCTTGAACCATTCAAGGACCCTAACGCAGTGCAGTTCACCATGGCAGGGGAGGGAAATGACCTGTGCAAATTATGGCTAATCCAATCTCTCACTCAGCAGCAGTCTTATCTAGGCATTATCCCACCAGGATCTTTTTCCACAACTACCAAATAAGCAGAAGTTTCTCACTGCTTTCCTCAGACAAGATACTACAAAGACCAATATTTTCATTTCAAATCCATCTTGCTCAAGATGAATTCAACTTCCTTGATCCTGCTCCCCAAACCAGAGTTGAAGAATTGCTCATTTTTCCAGTGAGTAACACCAAAGTAGCTTCTCCACAGGCTTTTTTTAATGGGGTAGATTTTGCAGCTTATCTGCTCCAAACCATTACACCTACTTTTTGACACAAACACACAGCTAATAGGCTCCTCGTAACCAGCTATAAAAAATTTCGTTAGAACTACTGGTAACAGTAACCAACAGCTAAGTTCAGTTTTCAGAAAGATAACAAGTGCAACTACAGAGAAGAGGTAGAATGGATCTGGACATTTGAAGAGGGGTTTGGGTTTTTTGGTTGTTTTGTGGCTGCCTTTTTTTTTTTTTCCTGGAGTTTGTTTTCATGAAACATAAAAGAAAGCAAGCCAAGGATGTGGGAGGGCTAAGAGATGCTCAATGACCAGGGAGACCCAAATCTCTCTAGGAGATGGCAGCTTAGGAATCTGCCAAGAACTGAAATGGGCTAGAAGGAGCAATACTGGAAGGAAGAGCAGGTTTCTTGGAGCATACGGCTAGCCAGGAATTTAGCTGAAGAAAATGCTTTAAAACAACTTCAAGATTGTGACACACAGCATTAAAACATGCAATAGCCTGTGGGGCAACCTCAGGTGGGGAGAAGCAGGACATGATAACCTTCACTCCCAGGCTGAGTGTTTTCACTTCAGAAAAACAGCCAGCAATGGACAAAGCCAGTGACAGAACCCTTCCCACCAGCACAGCCCGTGCTTACCAAAGCCCTGGCAGGCGGCCTTAGGGCAGCCATGGTGGCTCAGGCTCTCCAGAAGTCATGACCACCATCATCCCAAAGTCCCCAGCACCAGCTGGCCCAGAACAGCACACGCTGGGGCTGCATGACTGGGGGACACGGGGACTGGCAGCATGGTCACAGCTGCCCCCTCCACCTACTGCAAACCCTGTGCCATGTTCAGTCACACCCCAGGTTCATTTTCTTTCAGATCAGGGAGTTATGGCATCCAGGGGAGATCCACATGGGTAGGAGCTGGGAAGAAAGATCTGAGATCTCCTGACAGCAGTGACTGGTTTCATCAGCTCAGCTGCCAGACCCAGACGAGGTGCTGAGCAGGCCAAGCACCGCCCAATGAGGGTTCTGACAGATGGGGAGGGCTGAGGCTCAGCCTAAACCCTGCTGCAGCAGAGCTAAGCCGTGAGCAGAAGGGGCTGGGGCAGAGCCCTTTCCTGCCCTGCAGGCTCCCAGGCAGCCACCCCACCGCTCAGCCCTGGTGCAGCACGGCAGGCCATGACGGTCACGCCTGAGGGCACTGCACAGATGTGAAACGCAGGCACCAGCCAGGCAACGATTAGAGGAAAATTACACATTTCAAACATCACCTGCAGGGCTTGACTTGCTGTCCTCACCCAGTGTAAAATCTCAGCTCAGATGCTGCAAAGGAATAGTGGGGAGAAGTCATTTCTGCAATACCTCAAAAATGTGAGGCTTCCAGAGTGTTGTCTGCATGGAGACAGATAGGAAGAATCAAGCCAAATTAATGTCAGGAATTAATTTTAAAAGTATGAGTTAACATGCATTAATGACCTTGGTACACCCCCACATCTGTAGCTATGGTAAGCTTAAATTTCCTTCATTCCTATTTACTTCCAGCATGAACTAAACTGATTTTAATTAAGTGTCCACACTGAAACTTAACATCATTTCCGACACCAAATTTCACAACTAATCTTTAATTAAGCTTTCTGAATTTTTCTCCTTAGATTGCAAGTATATGATCCTCTGTCTAATTAAACAATCCATCCATGAATATTTAATAAAATAGTTAGCCAATTGCACTCCCTAATAACTAGGAAAACTTCTCAACCTTAGAGTACAAAGTTCAACTGAAAGATAGGGGTGTTTTGTAAAGTGATTTACAAAATGATAAGAAGTTTCCAAAATTGAAAGTGAGAAAGCAGAGGTGAGCTATGACACACTGAAAAATTAAATTGATTTTTACCCCAGGTGCAGATTTGAAGGAGTTTCCGTTGGTTTTTAAAAACACACTTTGAACCACATTTGAAATTGCTGAGCCACATCCACAGGGCCTAAAATAATTCCCAGTCCACACCCACGCTATTATAAAAGAATAAAATAGAAGACAGAATTAGTGACTGCTCTGAAAGCCAGCACACAGATCCAAAGAAAATTAGATTCTTTCCATGCAACTCTCCCTCCTCTCTGCACTTTTCAGACCCCTCTGTTAAAGCAGGCCAGATGTGTGTGATGTGCCCACATCACATGGAGCCACTGCTCAGTGCCAAATCTCCAGCACCTTTTCAGACTCCTCCATCCAGAGGTGAGCTGCTCAGTCTGCAGGATTCAAGACGGCTGTTCTTTAATTACAGGTTAAATTAAATCGAGGAGCCTGAAAATGCCAGTGATCCTTCACTTTGTAGGACGAGGCAGAAAGCCTGACTAACCCATCACACAAGGCATTCCTGAATCAAAGTGGCCTTCCAGCACTGCTGTTCTTTGCTCTCCAGCTGGGCACTCCCACGGCTCTCAAAATACCCTTTCATGTCACAGGCAAAAGCAACACTTATTTCTATCAATGCCATTTTTGCCTTTGGGAATCCCCCTGCCTCCAATTAAAACACACCCAGGGGACTATTTCATCTGTGCTCCCGATTCCTTCAACCTGAATCCCACCTGTGTTCCACTAAAGCCTGCCCCTGCAGCGTTTGTTGGAGATCCACCTTTCTTGCAGGCTCCCTTCAAGTACTGGAAGGCTGCAATTAGGTCACCCCTAACACTTCTCTTCTCCAGGCTGAACAATCCCAATTCTCTCAGCCTTTCCTCATAGCAGAGCTGCTCCATCCCTCTAATCATTCTGGTGGCCTCCTCCAGACTTGCTCCAACAGGTCCATGTCCTTCCTGTGCTGCAGACCCCAGAGCTGGAAGCAGCACTGCATGTGGGGTCTCACACAAGCAACAGTGAGATTAGCTTTATCCCAGCTATTACGATCTCGTACATCTAAATTTCTAATTTCTTTAAGACCCCTTGCAAGCACAAAGGATGGCAGGATTACAGTCAGGTCAGCGGGATAACCAAGAATTTAGACAGTTATTCTCTACTGCTGAACCAAAGTTATGTTATGTATATATGTAAGTAGTTCTGCAGAACTAAACCTTTGGGGAATGACAAGAAATCCCTAAAACCAAACAAATAAACATTAACAACCCAACTTATGTAACAAAGGATTATCCTCAAATTTTCAGTCTTGCTAGGCAATGCAACTCAGAGCAAAGGCACCTTCTCTGAGCAATCAGTGATTCTTATTTATTTATTTAAAATGCAAACTAATTGCTTTCGAAGTGCTCTGTGCCTCAGCCACTGTGCTCAGAAGGCACAGAGCTCGAAGACTTTCCTGAGGATTCTGCTTTATAAACAAATGTAGGGGTAGGAAAAAAATTACTCTGGTACTGCCCATTAAAGATTATTCCAAGGTAAAAAGCAGGTCCTTGAGATGAGCACGAGGAAACCAGGACTACAGATTTCTTTTAGTCCCCAGGAGATCCACTTTAGAAAGCAGCTATCGTTGCTGCATGACTGCCATGGCAATTTTTAATGTCATCCCATCCCAGTGGGCATCACCACACTCTCCCCACAGACTCAGGACTCTGCTGGCACACGCAGGTTATTTGCAGAAAATCCAGCGAACGAAGTCAGGCTGATTGGAACACCTTTGGTTGCCTAATCAGCAAGTGCTGTACCACAAAGACAAAGGCAAGTCATAATGCATATTAATAAGTTAAACCCTGCTGTCAACAATCTCTATTTTTCTGCAAAATTCTACAGCTGAAAATCCAAACTGCTGCAGCAATCCTAAGAGGACGGATGCAATACTGATGAGGGGAGCACTAACTTGTTTCCCTCACCCCCAGGAGTCCCAGGCATAAGCCTGGGCTGTCTGACAAACACTCCTGCCAGTGCCATGGGAGCTGCTGAACAGCTCAGTGTGCAAAATACAGCCAGCCAGATTGGCATCCTGTGCTGGATGGTTTGGGCTCTCCACTTCCTCCGGCAGACCGAGGCACGCACCAGCACCAGCTTCCCTCAGTTCGTTTGCAGTAGCTGCCAGTGCCCGGTGGGAACACACATCAGGAGCACAGAAGAACAGTCAGGAGCACAGTCTGGCCCAGAGCTCTCCTCTGCCTGTACCAATGCACCATTCCCAGGCAAAGGAGTCTGGGGAACAGGAGACAACATACAAAAAGCAAAGACCTCCCTGCACTTCAGCATCCTGTTGGTAAAAGGGGGGGGATGTTCTGTGCAGTGTTTCCACTTTAAATACAGGTCTCACCAACAGACCTTTCTTCAGCTACTACAGAAAAAGAAACAGCCAAATGCTGTGTTGCAGCTTTCTGCACAACCTCTGCTTGAGAACGGACACTGTGGTAACTTGTGAGCTACAGACCACGAGCAAATATTTAAGAACATCTGATAACTTACTGGTAGAGCTGCAAGTTCAGAGACACCCCAAGCCAAGCACCTCAGGCAGCTTCCAAATGCTGCAGAGGGACCAGCAAACCCAAGCTAGACAGAGGCAGCACTTGGAACCTGCTGAGACAAAACCAGAGGACAGACTTCCTCTCTTCCAATTTCACGAATCCCAGTTCTAGTTTCACAGACAAGCTCCTGGCCCATGTGCAGTCTACTGGTACATGCTGGGAAGCACAAGCACACCAGTACATGCACTTCTTGTTGCTTCCCAGCATTCTTCAAACCAAGGGATCTATTCCACAGAGCTGAAATCATAATGACAGCTAGGAATGGGTTTAAGTGCTGCCTTAAAACAACCGAGTCACTGTTTTGCAGACCCAGTTCTGGACTCTCCTTTTTATCATCGTTCACCTCCTCACTCTGGAACCAGTAGGAAAATTCATCTGTAAGTGGAAGAAGTAGATATGCATTAACATCAATATCATCAGTGACCCGCAGGGAGAGGTTATACAGAAGAAGCTTTGGGCTTACGTCTCACTAAAGGCTGAGCTTGCAGAACATACTTCAGAAAGGCAATAAAACTTCTTTCTTACCTATAAGCAACTGGCTCAAATATATAAGTTTTTCCAAGGTTTTTAATCACAAAAGTGATTAGAGGATCTGATAACAATGGTCTCTGCTGGCTAGACATCTAAGAGCATTTTATACTGAAAGCATCTTATTTCATCTTCTAGGTTTTTCATGAGCACAATTAAAAGAACATTCAAAGGAACCACTTACATTTCACACTTCATTGACAGTCAAGCAGCACAGACTTCAAGCACATCTGAAGTCACCAGGAGTTTTAGTAAATCCCTACATAATCTCAATGAAAATGTTCTTCAAACACAAAGATCTCTAGCAGCTGGGCCACCTTTAACTCAGAAACAAAGCCCATTCCTGGTGAAGCAGTTAAAGTGAAAGCTGGAATATGTAGGTCAGCAATCTAAGAGGGGCTAAGGTTAAGACAAAGTCTCAGATTGATTCATAATGCTCTTTGATTGCTAATCCTGTGTAGAATTGTGATTTACATCACTCTACCAAAATCTGAGGGCTATGGAAAAGATCCGTGCACTTTTCAGAAGATCATCAAGACAATTCTGTCCGATCTTTCACTGGGATATTTATGAGTGTTGAGTAGAGAACGGGAAAATGACATTTTCACCAAGAGCTGTGTGCACCACTGAGCCTCTCCTGTGGAAAAGGAGGAGGACCATAACTCTGTGGCATCATTCCTGCCCTTCCCAAAGCTGCCGATTCAACAGATCAAGGGGGTCAGGAGGAGCACTGGACATCAAAGAACTTGAGTTCAAATACCTCCTCCATGTAAGTCAGCCTGTGAGCAAAGGGCAGGGCAACCTGACATGGATTTGGGCCAGCACCCATTACCATCCTCCAGTTCTTACAGCCTGGAGCAAGACAGGAGCTGGGTGAGATATGTCCTGCCAAGGGCCTGTGGTTAAAGGTGCCTGTATGGGCAGTGCCATGGACTCCCTCCAGTGCAGGGGCTGCCCTTCAGTGTCCCTGTGTCTTCCAACAGAGGCCAGCAGGGACATAAGCCTCTGAATATACAGTAATCTGCTTCTGCAGCAGTTTCTCCTGCACCACTGTCTCAAGGACAGAGTTAAGATACAATATATTACAAGCTGCATCTGCTTTGCCCTTTATTAGACCACCCCTGTCCACCTCATACTGGCACCTCTAGTTCCTCCCACGCATTTCCAGCTCCTGCAGGAGATGACTCTGCCAGCAGTCACTGCAAACCAAGGTTTAAGTACTTGCCTATTTTGTCCCTGGAAAACTAGGTCTCTGTGAACAATGACACACCTTCATTTCCACTGCTTGGTTTTAATCAAGTTAGAGTATTTGCAAACAAACAGTAGTGAGCAGAGCAAGCAACCTGCTCATCAAAGACTCACCAACAAACACCTTTGTGTCAAGGAATTAGGTAGAGATGATCATGTATTTCTCCTGTTTTCTGAAACCTGACCTCACATTTGCTGCCAGCAGGAGACATGTACACACCCAGCTGAGCACTGCAGCTCCAGTGATTATGTGGTACCTCACTGCACCTCAGGCCGGCCACCTCTTTGGCCAGAGGAACACATTTTGTCAGGGGATCCACGATGTTCCTTCAAAGCCCACAAAACAGACCCCATTCCACAGTATTTTGCTTACCTAAGGGAAGCAAGCACTAAGACAGATTTATGTGGAGCCAAGCTGCAGCCCTGCATAGCTGTCCTGTCCCCAGCACCGACAGCAGCTGTGCCCGAGGTTCCCCAGCACACACCTCAGCACTGCAGAGCTGCTTGTCTCTGCAGCACCATCACCAAATCAACTCATTTGCTGAACCAGAAGGAAACAGATGATTTACCTGGACTCAGCACCTGGATCACCTCCAGAGCAGCAGCTTATGCCACAGCAAGGAGAGCAGCTGCCCGGAACGAAGGAGCCCAGGAAACGGGCTGTCTGTCCTCAGAGGTACCCAGGTCTGCTGACTTCAACCCCTCATGCCCTCACCCTCCAACATTAAGAACTGCAGCTAATAAGAAAAGTTTGCCTCATTAGACACTCTTGGCCTCTGTCCCAGGGGCCTTCTGGGGAAGATTTTTCCTGGTAATATTCTTCCTCCCAAGGAACATTTAGCATCACTCCTATCTATATGAACTCCTCACCTCTCTAGAGCTTCACCTAAATCATCCCTGACACAGTAACAAAGCACAAGGGATGTGTGTTTGTTACCTTGTCCTGGATCCCAGCAGATGAGGGCAACTCTCCAAGATGCACAGCAAAGGTCAATAACCAGGTTTAGCAGCAAAAGCCGAGGACAGAAAGCTGTCCCTTTGCCCCTCAGTAACATACCTCAGGTACACCTGCCCCATTCTGCTGGGGTCTCCATCTACAAACTCCTCTCTGAAAGCAGAAGAATGATGTAGGCTTGAATCACTGCTCTCCAATATATTTAAGGTTATCCTGGCTCAGAAAAATGATTCCACAATCCTTTGTGTGAGGAGGGTTATAAAATCCCGTTAGGTTAACTACCAGTCCTGGGGCAAGTGCAGTCTTGTGAACGTGTCACTAAAGGAGGAGTTGCACATAGCAAGTTAAGATTCATTCCTCACATATTAATAGGCAGCTCTGGTTTCTCACTCCCTCACAGCCAGGAAAATCTCCTGCTAGATCCAGCTGCCCCACGACGGCACCTTTCCCCTCTCAGATATTTGTTTTGACACTGTCGGTGATTAAAACCAGTTGCAGCAAGCGGATATGGAAACAGCAAAGGGCAGCAGCAGTTCCCATTCCTTCAGCCCCTGCTCCCCTTCCACCGCCCTGATTTACCGGGGCTCATAAACACAGCAACAAAGATTTGCCCTGAAAGAAAAGCCTAGAGCACGGCAGAACAGAAGACACATCACATATTATTCAGTCTCTCTGCAGCCTGACCCGCTGTGCGCTATAAGAAACGAATGCAGCTACTTCTAAAATTACTCAGAGCGCGTATCCCTTGCTACAACTCGCGGGTCCGTGCGGGCTGACCCAGGCCAGCTAAGATCTGCCAAAATTTAGGCGAGGGTAAGCACAAGCCGAAGGAAAGGCAGGGGCCGCGGTCTGCCTCATCCCCCGCCCATCCTCTCTCCCTCAGTGGCGGAACCGCGCGGGCTCCGCGCCCACCACCGAGTTTGGTGCTGGCAAAGCCCCGCCGAGCGGGGAGAGAAGCCGGGGCAGGGGTGACGGGGAGCCAGGGCAGCCACGGCCACACACGTCTGCCGCTTCCAAGTTTATATTGATGGGGTTATAGTGATAAATGATAATAAGAATTAATAAAGTTACGAGCTGGCGCTCGACCGCCCCACGCCGCTCCCCGGAGCCCACCCACACCCGCGGGTCCGCCTCACGCCGAAGTGGAAACCCCTGAGGGCGACGGGGCCGGGCTGGGCGCGGCCCTTCCCGCCCTCCCACGGCACCTGCGACCACGCCTGCCCCTCAGGCAGTGCCTCTCTGCCCGCCGACCCTCCGCTATCCTCCGCCGCTCACCGCCAGCCCGGCCCCGCCGGCCCTCGGCCGGTCCCTCACTCACCGCCGCCGCCCGCCTTTGTTGCCGCCGCGGCCGAGGCATTTAAGGCGCTGAGGCGGGGGGGCGGGGGCCGCCGCTCGGGGGAGGCGCCGCCGCCAGCCCGGCTAGCTAGGCGGGCACGGGGCATCCTCCGCACCCTGCCCGTCCTCCCACCTTGGCAGAGCTGCGGAGAGGAGGAGCGGTGCCTCTGAGCGGCCGCCCCCCAGCACAGCACAGCCTGGGTACCCCTTCAGCCCGGGCAGCGGTGACACCGGGCTGGGGAGGGGCTCGCTCGGGACCGCCTGTGCCTGGCAGAACGTGTCCCCAGCTCTCCGCAGCACCCCGGGGTAGGAGCCTCCCCCTGCCCGCCGGCCTCGGGGATGTCGCTCTGGAAAGGCGCAAAAAGCGATCGTCCCCGTTACTGGCACGGGCAGAGCTGCCATCCAACTCCATCACTACGGGCTCATTTTGAGTAGACACTGCAGATACGTCAATACTTCATTAGCGAGCCGCAGGCAGCCTCCCCCAGCACCTATTTTAGGGCCGCCCCGGGAGAGCCCTCTGGCCTACGGCTCCCTCGGGTCCACCGAGGGATGCCCGTGGCATGGAAAACGGGGCACATGGCTACTGGCTGGCTTAAACTGGCCTCAGCCTTTAAGTACTTTCAGCGTCTTCCCTGTCAAAAGCACAAGCACAAGCAGGGATCTGTGTGTGCTATACATTTTCGCCAAACTGTGTATTAGTCAGGGTCCAGGCAAGGTAACCTGATTATTGCAATTGTAAAAGCTTGAACTCTGAGCCCTGGCCGTGCAAGCCAACAACAAAGGTCCTGCTTAAATCAGCACCAGTCCCCATTGTGGGCAGTCAGGGCTGCAGGACACGGTACATTGTACCTATCCTGGCTGCTGCACTTCCACTGCTCAACTGGAAAGAGCAAGCAAACTGTTTCTGAGGTGTGTCCATGTTTTTCCACCTTGAAAGGAGTCAGTATCTGGTCTGGGGTTATATCCTTCAAGTTTGTATCCAAAATCAGCATCTCACTGTGCATTATTCCCATCTTGCATGGAGATGATATTCCCCTGCACAACGTACCTCTCCTCCCACTGGACAGAGCACTGTCTTCCCAAGGGCTTTCCAACATCAGAGAAGATGAAACATTTGCAAGGACAAGTAAAGTATTTCAGGATAAACCCTCAGAAAAGAAATAACCTACAGTGCTATTGCAGAATGCAGGTTCACACTGTAACCTTATGCTCTCCCCAGGAGTTCCTGTTAAGGCTGGTACCAGTCTGAGCCAGGCTGCAGATGGGGGGAACTGAAGGGGGAAACACGGCTTTCATGTGTGATGCAGCCAATTCCTGGTGCCTCTTCCCGGCTGCAGAGGGGCTGGATAAGGAGCTCCCTGCAAGCAGATTGATGCACTGCCTGGGAGAATCGGGGAGGCAGAGCCTGCTTGCCTGGCCCAGGTTGGGGCGGAGGGCTTGGGTTCTGGACGGGTTTACACTCAGCGCCCTGTGCCCTTCTGGCCCCTTGGCTGAGAGCACTGCTGTTGGAGCACGAGCACTGGAGCTGGGGTTGCACAGCAGGCAGACACTTTCCTGCACAGGCAAAGTCGTTTAGGGCACTTCCTGGCCTTTATAAGCTGGTTAAACTTTACATGTCTGCTGAACCCAAAGGTAGATGAGTTCCTGTGGCTCCTTGGAGTATGGACCTAAGTGAGACAGGCCAGCCCACATTTACCACTAATTGGGGGATGTTTGCTCTAAAAGGTTTTAGCCTGGGCCAAGATCCTTCACCGAGCATCTTTCCAGTCCTTTTGCAGTTAGATTGTATGGAGGTAGGTACCTGCTGTCAGTGCAAGGAGCTGCACAAAAGCCTCCTGCCCTTCCCTTCGGGTGCTCCAGGTTGGGAACACCAGTGTGCTCCCCTTTCTGCCTCTCCCTCCGCTCAACTCCTCTCTTGCAGAAGTCCCCTTCTTGCTGGTCTTTGGCTCCATCTCAGACTCCTCCTGGGCTGCACTGCTTGCAGGATGGATCATAACAAGTTCACCTGCCTGGATAGTACAGAAATCCCCAAGCTACTGTAAGCACCTCCCCTCCCCTCCTGTTCATTTCTCCCTTCTTTCTGTACCAAGGTTTCAGACCATGATGGTGCCTGAAGAAGGACCACCCATGGTGGAAGGCAACCTTCCCCTACCTTTGGAAATGCTCATAAAATCTGCAGATAACCGAAATCAGTCTGCTGGAGTCCAGGAGCCTCTGGGGGGGAGGAGGGGGGTGAACCTCACCCACTCACCTTGCCATGCCCCAGGGGAAGCAGCAGAGGAGACCACAGGGGGAGTGAGGGAGAGCAT